CATCGTTCCAGAGCGTACCAGAGTATACCCGACACAGGGGTCGAGAGCTAACAGGTGAACAATACCAGAGAACTTGGGGCGCGGCACGGCCAAGGGCTCTCTGTCATGTCTGTTTACGCAGCGCGTGCCATTTCAAGCGGAAAGGATCCTGGATGAGCGTCAGTGTCTACAAAATAAATTGACTTAAAAAATAAACTAAAATGATATTGTGTTAGTCAAGTGCAGCAAAAGCAATGTATTGAAGCTAATATTCTTATAGAAAGAACGTTCAGATGGAACGCTGTTTGAGACTTCTGGAAGCTCTGGAGAAGAATCAGCAGTCGTTTCGGAAACAGACCAATTACCTTTACATGCTGACTGAGATCACTGGAAGGTCAGTCTCGGAGAAATCTTTGCAAGTACTTGATATGTTTGGAAACCAGTGTCATTTGGGATAGTTAGAAGAATATGAAACAACATCTAAAGCCTTTTAGTAAAAAAAAAAAAAAAGTTGTCAATATTGAGCAGAGAGTGTGTGTGTTGATTTACTTTGAGTGTAGCAGGTAAAATGAGCCTAGAACTAGAACAAAGGAAACAGGAAAGTGATGAGAAACAAACTAAAAAGTCCATGAAAATGAAACTAAAAGTTACCTTGGGCTGTTACCAGGGGCGTTTCTGGGACTTGAAAACATGGGATGTAATTCTTTGTAACTTTGTAATATTCATATTTCTAGCCAAACAGGGACAATACATTTTTGTAACCAATTATTATAATCAATAATTATGATGCCTGTATTAAAAACCTAATTGATTCAATGAAAATGGATTCGAAAACCGTAAAACTCAACCGTTTAACTGTAGGGGAGTTGGAACATTTTCAAAAATAGTGGTGTTCCTTTAAAGCACTGATGCGAGAAAACAGCCAAATGACACCAAAAAAAAAAAAAAAAAAACACACCAACTCGTCAATCAAGCAAATCTTTTTATTTGAGGCGGAGGTGGGACAGAAAATCTTTCTAAACCGTTTGAGCAAACAGGGAACACATGGCTTATGAATGAAGCACTGAATTGAAAAGCCCTCCAGTAAGTGTTACGCAAAACTCCCATGACCATTTCAATGACCACATCCCTGACAATTTCCCTGACCGCATCCCCGACCATTTCCTTGACCACATCCCTGACCACATCCCCAACCATTCCCTTGACCACATCCCTGACCATGACCATTCCCTTGACCGCTTCCCTGACCCTGGCCGCTTCCCTGGCCGCTGCCCTGACCATAACCGCTACCCTGGCCGCTTTCCTGACCGCTGCCCTGCCCGTAACCGCTGCCCTGGCTGCTGCCCTGGGCCTGACCGCTTCCCTGACCGTGGCCGCTGCCCTGGCCCTGACCGCTTCCCTGACCCTGGCCGCTTCCCTGGCCCTGTCCCTGGCCCTGGCCGCTGCGCTGGCCC